ACTATCAGGTCCTAATTCAAGAAATAGATTGGGTAACCCAGCCTAGTGACAGTGACATAAACTGATCGGAATAGACCTGTGCCTAGAAACCTAAGCGCACGTGTAAACATATCAGGTCCCATCAACGGTTAGGTAAACAAAAGGTAGGCTGAGGTCATGAACAGTGTTTCCACTAAGTATCATCTATGTTCCTACGTTATACGGTGGCTTACTAGTATGGTTTTTGGATAATCGCCCCTTACAAAGATTTTTCGCTACTTTCTCAGCCGTCAAGAAAAGAGCTATCTACGAGAGATAAGATACGAATCGATCCATCTCCGATTCTTCCAGCCCCGCGACTCTTTGTCCAGTATCGCAAAACCAGAGATGTGGCATAGATTAAATGCACGGGTACCCCAGTCTCGTACGCTAGAGGCCCTTTTTATTGAACTAGCTGTGTAGTGCTTATCGTCTCCTTGCAGCGTGGATGAATTATCGCAACAATGTGTGAACGATTTTCTATAGGAGAGCTATTGTTGAGCATTGCGGTAGGCCGATCAGAACGATCGGAGCTCGTTGTCCTTGAGGATTCTTCAACGGGGGCCGTTTCAATTGATACTGGTAGAAGGGGTCAGCGAAGTTCGGCTTGGTGGGACCACCAAAAGGTACTCAGCGAAGCCTGCACAGGCCACGTTGTGAACACCTGTGGAGTCTTGTTACCAAAGTGTACCTTTTCGCAGTTTCACAAGACTTTACAGGTCCCATCAAAAAGGAACCTGTTACTTGAAATGAACTAGCGAAAGGCACTGGCTACAGTGCAAAATGCCCCCCCCCCTCCCCTCTAAGTCGAACAGCGCCGATGGGCCGTAATGGTTGGGTTCGAAAACTTCTTTGCGTTGATTGATTTTTGCCTTATCAGGCGCATTAAAGCTCCTCTGCCCGGAACGGTAAATAAATGCAGTCATAATCCTTACAAAAGAATGGGCGTGTGACGGGGGCGTGGCTTGGAGCGCAGCCAGGAATAGATTTTCAACCAACTGTAGCAGGCACAGGATGGCATCAATGATTGAAAAGGAGCGCCTTGGCTGCACTCTAGTTCACGCCGCAATAACTGCAGGGATCATGGCTGTATATGTTGTAATCCGTCGTATAATCTCTCTTCTCCCTCTTAATCCCGCTCGGCGGATGTCAGGGGACAGGGGGGGGGGTGAGGGGTGGTGCTTCGCGTTTCGAGAAACTTCCCCATCGTGGTGATGAACTCTGATCATAAGCAGGACTCATCAGCAAATAGCTTCCAAAATCGATAGCAGCAGTACTTTGTCGCACATTGCGGGGGCGGGCGCTTTTCTGTCAGGGGACTGATGAGATCCGAAACCGCATCCATTGCATGCTGATCATTACTGTACTGTCCACAAAAACTTTCGATTCGCAGAAAGCAAAGGTAGTGCGATGGCACACGTTGGTACAGACGTCCGCAAAGTAAACGCGCCATTATTCACCGTCACTGTGTGCGCAAAAGCATACAATAGATGAATCCCACATTACGAATGAAATTGCTTTCAACGAGTTCCCACGTACATAAAAAAATGAATTTCAATGTG